TTCCGTTATTTTACAAAACAACTTCCGGTTTAACGATACCATTCATTTTATTATATATATATATATTCACGTAAATTTTCAAAAATACTTACCGGTGTGAAAATCCTTACCTACCTACCTACCTACAATTATTATTATTTTTTTTTTTTTTCGGGCTGCAATAAATAAAAAAATTATTCTGTGGCAAAATGTGGGGGGTGAAGGGGACAGGGGATGACACGAATGCAAGAATGAGTGTGAGGTGATGGAGATGATGATGATGATGATGACGTTGATGGATTTTTTCCGAGGTGTTGGGGGAAGAGAGAAAAAAAAAAAAAAAAATTAAAAATACAATTGTCAATGATATTAATTTGAGAAGAATCCTTTGAATCCTAATTTATCCCCGGCGTTAATCCTAAACCTTAAAAAAAAAAATCCCTTTTTTATATAAAATGATTGAATCCTCAACGTTTCCTTAGGAGAGAAGGAAAAAAAAAAAAAAAAAAAAAAAAACAAAACAGTTTTATCCAATAATCCAATCCAAAATCCTAATGTGAGATCCGAAAAGATTAATCCAATATCCAATTTATCTTTATCTCTCTTTATCTCTCTCCCTCTTATAAGGTACTAATCCTTATTAGTTTAAAGTCATATCGTTCCGAATGTAAGGAATTGACATATAATATATATTCTCACTAATTCCCTTTCCTACTGGGGTATCGGAATATTCAATTCCTCTTCTCATCTCATATATATAGAAAATGTTAACTTCCTAAATCCAAAGGATCCTTTCTCTTTCTCTCTCTCTCTCTCTATAAATTTCCTTGGGGCACTTCTCCCATCCTTTTAAAATGAGTCCTACTATTCCATTTATTTATTTATTTATTTTTTATTTATTTTAAATATTTTTTTTTTTTTTTTTTTTTTTTTAATCCAATCTTTATTTTTTATTGGGATCCTTACAAATCTAAAGCTACGGAAAAAGCAAAAAACACATATATTAGAAAAAATGTTAAATCATCATTTTCACAATTAATTGGAAAATTAATTAATTAATTAATTAATAATCAATAATCAATAATCAATAATTAAAAATCGATATTCGATTTACGTTATTTATATACTAAAAAAAAAAAAAAAAAAATTATATCATATCGAACAAAGCAATATTTTCATTTTCATTTTTTTTTTTTAAATAATAATAATAATTTTAAAATGATCAATAATACAGACATGATAAACAATGAATTTTTAAAAAATAGAAAATGTCAACTCGAGTCAAAAGTAACAAATGTGGGATTATTAAACATAGATATAAAATATTTAAATTTCTACCCTTTACTACCCTAAAAAAAACTGCATAGATACCTAATACATAATTAAAAGCAGTTATTTAGCAATATGATGATGATGATGATGATTAAATCATTTTTTTTTTTTTTTTTTTTTTTTTCCTGTTTGAACAACAAGCTAAATTTAAAAAATATCATTGAGCACAAAAAGGAATGTTTTTCGACAAAAAATTTTTCACTTTCAAAACATTAAAAAAATAATTTTCCACTAAATTTAGTAGTAGTAGTAGTAGTAGTAATAGTAGTAGATGATAACAGTGAAAATTAAACAAAACTTTCATTACTTAACACGCACACACACATATATATATATATATATGTGTAAAACATAACCACACTTATTAAACTCTCCGATTTAATGTTTCATTTTTCGAGTAATGTTTAAATGTTAAACTCTACTTAAAAAAAATTGAATGATTTTTTTTTTTTTTTCCCTTGTTTGTTTTTTTTTTAATAGCTTACAAAATAATTAAAATATGTTCTACAAATTATTATTATTATTATTAATTTTTTCAACAGCTTAAATAGGAAAGTTTTATTGTAATCGTATGTAGAGAGAGCCAAATCCTACTCCGATAGAGATTTAAAAGATAATAATTAATTACATAATGTGATTTGTAATGTTTGTAAAATCAAATTTTACAACAAATATTATTTGTTTAAAACATTTACACCAAAAATTAAAAAAAAAAATTTTAATTTAAAATATCGATCGCAAGATAAGTTTAGTCTATTTAGTTACACCAATCAAATTATTTTCTTTCTTTCTTTTTTTTATATATATATATAAAAAAAAAAAAAGTTTTAAATAATGTTTTTGTATTTTTTTTTTTTTATACTAATGACTAATTTTTGAAAATTAGCTAAACAACAAAAAAAAAAAAAAAAAAGAAAAAAAAAAAAAGAAAAAAAAAAAAAAAAAAAGAAAACGGGTCAAAAATCACTATTAATTAATTACCTGAAAGCTCTCCCCGCACAACATAACCCAAAAACAATGTTTGGATATTTTTCATTTGCTTCCCATTTAAGGACAGTCGAAAATTTGTTTGTCCGGTAATTCATTCCTTTTTCAAGTCAATTAAAATTATAACCAATTGAAATGATCTCTTGTTTAAATCTACTTAGTCATATGATCCAGAGCGTGAACGTGAAAAATCTCTTTTCACAGGAGAATAACTCGGAGAACCACGACGTGGACGTGGAGAATATGAGCGAGAACGACTTCTGGAACGACCTCTATCCAATGAACCACGAGAACTTGAACCTCCATCTTCTTTAACTCGAACATATGAAACTTCTCCCTGTAAATTTAAAAAAAAAAAATGTTTGATTACTTTTTTTTGGTATTTAAAAGTGTTTTCCATGAACTTTACATGAATATGAAATAAAATTTACCTCATGTGATCTAAATCTTGAATCGTCCAATTTTTTAACAGCATATTTCATATCTTCCAATCGTAGAAACTCGACAACACCTGTACCATCTTTAAAAACATCGGCAAAACATACATCACCAGCTTCACGCATATGGTCTTTGAGATCTTGCCAACTTCCAGATGGTGGCAATCCTTAATTATAAACAACATAACTCAAATCACTATTTTAAATATTAGAAGAATAATTATAATTAATTAAATTTATAAATCAGATGCAGATAATTATAATCAGATGCTGAAATATCTAATTAGTGTTTTGTAAAATTCATGTAATATACATTCAGAAAATAACCGTTATATTAGGAGAAATTTACCTGTTACCAAAACTCTAAATTGACTACGTCTGGCAGGTGGACCTCTTCTACCTCCACCTCTATCTCCACCAGAGCTTCCACCACTTCTGTTGCCTCTATAACTTCCAGGTCCTCCTCCCCGTGGAAATTCTACCCTCAATCTATACCCATCGTAATCATAGCCATCACGAGCGTGTACG